GGGGGGGGGGGGGGACTGGGGAACTATAGCAATAAAAATGTAAATATTTCTTTACAAACTTTATACGTGGATTGAGTTTTATCCAATTTACTGCAAGCATTTTATTTTTCAATTTTAAACTTATCGCAACATTTTGATCTTTTCTATGACCTTGAAAAGAAAAGTAAACTAAACTAAGTTTAACTCATTTTTATGGATTGCTTCACCATTTGTTTCCAATCCCAAACATTTTTTTTCCTAGAGGTACAGTAAGGCCACATAAAATAAATTCCTTGATTCTCATCGCTGCACTTTGAAAATGTCGAAAAGGCGGGAGGTTTATATTTTATATTTATATAATTTAATATATATCAATAAATAAAAGTGTCACAAACTGAAATAAACATATTTCTCCACGAACAATGACTGGCCCTTGAACTGAATGCGAAGTTCCCTTAAAATGCAATGAAATTTCTTTCAAGGTTCTATTTGTTTGAAATTGGCAGTTTAAAATGGCACTAAAAACCCAATATAAAATATAAAAAACTTAACTGTCTTGAAATATTTTGTCGGGCGGTACATTTATATTGTATAACAAAATATAAAAAAAATTCACGCGGCTCTTAAAATACAGTCGGGCGGTGATGAGAATCAAGGAATTTATTTTATGTGCCCTAAGGTCCAACTTTTAATATATATACCCATCGTTACTACAGCAGGAACTGAACGCGGAGTCACCGATGTCGACGAAAACTCGCGTTGTTTTGTGGAGTCAAACTACTGTAGAAGCACTCGTGTATGCGACGGAAGCGCGGTATTAATCCAAAAAATGTATATGCACGTTGCAGGCGAGATTTGTGTATAATGTAGCCTGCGTAGCAGTCGCTTTATTTTATTATTGTAGGTTTTGAGGATTTTTGAATAAATGGCAGGCTATGCATAATGAAACTCTGGTCACAAAGGTCACCAACATCCCGCTCTGCTGATGGCTAGGATTAGACTGAGTTGACTATTAACTCATTATCGCTCCCCTTTTCCTGAGGAGAGCTGGGAGAATAATGTACGAATAATGAACGAACCCCAAATATACTTAATAATGGACGTGTTTAGTTCTAAACACAGTTGGATCTTTCATGTTTGCTTCGAGGGCCTGCTGCGATGATCCGCTTTAAGATGATCGGCTTATTGCGAGACCATAAAAAATTCTTATATATTCCATGCTCCGCCTCAGAAGTCAGAAGGTCGACCCAAGGACGCATTTACACTTCTTTACTTTTTTACCGAAAATTTAAAACTTTGTCACACTGGGACATCTTTATCCAATGCTTTAAGGGAAGAATTGTCTAACCGGGTTCAAAGTAATCCGGACTGAATGTCAGTTTTTCGAACATGGGTTGTTTCTCATTTTCTGGTATTTTTCATGTATACTCTATTCTCTAAATCTCGTTTCTTTCTTTCTTTCTTTCTTGGAATTCTTGCCTTTATGATATGCAACATTTGAAAAATGTCAGTGGAATAACATGCTGGACAAGTTCTTAATTGTTCTCACGAACAACTTCATATTTATAACACGTTTTAAGGTTTTAGATAATACAACTCTGGACTGTAGTTTGTGCCAAAAATTGTGTTGCAAGTTGCAGCAAAATTGCCTCGTGAATAACATGGCCTTGTATTATAAATAAAGACGAGGGACTGAAGTATGGGATTATATTTTCTATTAATAATTGCACATATACAGTATTCCATTTTGTATTGACCTACAAAATAAGCTCAATATTCGATATTGATAATTAGTAAGCAATCAAGATCCGATTAACACTAACAGCCCCCTACCAAAAAATTTGGAGTATTTACAACTTCAATATATAGACACTGCAGAAATACTAAACGTGTAATACAAGTCTGCATTCCAAGCAGCCTGCAGATAGCAAATATACCGACACAGCAAGAACAGCTGGATTTTGGGACTCTAAAATTGGATTTAGTATTTATACGCTGTGGTTGTATATAAAAACATGTGCTATAGTCCTTACTTAGCGCTTGTTTACGGTATAGAATTCGTGATATTGATCCCTGAATTACAGTATATGCACAACAATATAGTGCGACATAGCATGGGTCTTCCCAATCAATTAGGGCTGTATTGAACTGTCTATAGCTAGCACTTTCTTCAATAATATTCCCTTTATTTTGCCAGGGCAAGTGTAATGTATGAAATGGAGAACGCCTCGCAAATCAGTCAAAACGAATAGGACTTGATAGAAATTACAGTTTATATGTAATTCAATTTTTTATATCACGGCATTATCCATATCTATAAATTTATCAAAACGATAGGACAAATGAAATTTACTGGTTCTAGATGGAAGTTACAATTCTTAATAGACCTCGTTATAGACTATATTCAAACTCCATCTAAAAAATCACCTAAGCCAGACTCATGGTAAGCGAATGGACAAACTATATGACACTGTGTATATCTTCCATGGCTCTTCCGTAATTCCTGATCGTTTAGAAATCTTCCGGCCAAAGTAAAGTTGATACTTTCATTCTTTCACTTTCACTCTTTGATGTCATTGCTTCATTATATAAGCTCCATACTGTTTCATGCATACTTTTCTGGTTATATTAGTTCATAAATCATGAGATCCAGTTTCTTTTGTTGTACATTTGTGTTTCGAATAAAAGTCGAGAACCTGTAATGTTATTGCCTCCAATTCTGGAGTTCACTATATACTGCATGCCTGCATGTGTAATTAAATCGTACATATTATATAAACAAAGCCCGCAATGTCGTATAGAAGACTAAACAAAAACATATTTTCGCCTTGCCCTTGGGTTCGTACGTTCGTCAATCTTCACGGCACACGTTTGAAAACAAACCTCAAATTCAAAGTCTGACCCCAAAATAAATATATAAACAATGTAAAGGCATTTGAATATGACATATATGAACTATGAAGAACCCTTTTCCGTATTATATTTATGTCATTTTTAAAGAAATATTAAACATGAGATTTCTCAATTGGGGCATAAGAAACTGTCCGCTATTTCGAGGTGTCCGTGTCAGAAGGATGTATATATAAGGAGAAGTTCGACTCCAGCATGCATTCTACTACATATATACTCCATTGGCATGTGCTTGCCTTAAACACGGGTAAGGATAATAAGGAAAACAAAATGAAAAACAAGGTCAAGGAGATAGATTCTGTACCACTATACATGGGAAAAAGCTTTATTTAATACTCTAAAGAGGCATATAATTTGGAAAAAATACAAACTTCTTCGTATAAGGCATCACATATACGCTCAAACGTAAGCAGGGACATCACGCAGTTTTTTCATTATTGCAATTTTGCATGATATAGATTTGATAAGCATGGCGGCAACCGGAATTTCGGATACGGATCCAATTCAAGGAAACGGATTTCTCGTTTTTAACAGCTTGAGAATTTGAATGGAAGGTGTTTGAAAATTGTGAAGCAATGATAGACCTGGCAAGGTGTTTGAAAATTGTGAAACAATGATAGACCTGCATGTTATCCATGCAAATTGCCATTCCTATATGCCACAGGCCTATGCATGTAACATTAGGTTTTTTGATCACTCAGTCAAGGTTTTTGTAACTGCATGACATTACGTGTATCCATATCTATAAATTTATATACCAAAATATTATTTCAAATGTTTTTCTATAATGATTTTGCTTCAGGTGAGACACAAGTCAAAATTCTAAACATCCTAAGGGTAAATTTAAATGTGAAACTACAAAGTTTTTTTGTAAGGTTTGCATACTAATTTAGGAAACAAATCAGTCAATTAAACAAAACTAAATTTGAAACTGCGTAAGCTTTCGTGGGTAGGGATGCCTTCGTTCGAAACGTCGAAATTCTCCTTATATAATTTCCAGGTGTTGCATTCCTACCAATTAACGAAAGGTTGTTCATTTTATTGCCACTACCAACACTGGCAAAGACAGTTCAAGAAACTGCATACCTTTTCTGCTGTATAGCATTTACCTTTGTGAAAATTTGTAGTATCTAAGACTAACGCCCGTATTCTAAAAGCTCACTCACACTCAATGAGTGGAAGTTCAGTCTGAGCTTCTCTCGAGTGTCAATGCTGTTTTTGAATAGCTGGAGGGTTAGTGTCGTACCTTACTATGTGACTACTCACCATCCAGCTATTCAAAAACAGCAATGACACTCGAGAGAAGCTCAGACTGAACTTCCACTCATTGAGTGTGAGTGTGAGTGAGCTTCTAGAATACGGGTGTAAATGTCATTTAAACACAGAAAAACCACCATTTAAGCTACAATACTGTGATATTTTCCCCTATATCGCTTCAAGCGTGCAAAATTGAAACTGCAGCGCGAAAATATCGCATTTTGAGTGCGCGAAATCAAATCGCGCGAAATCAGATAGTACCATGCAGGAATGGACCTTCACATTTCAATCTGGAGCCATGCACATGCACTAACCAACCCTTGTTTCACGAACACATCTTTAATTCTACAATTAAATTTATAAACAATGTGTTTATAACAAGTCTTGAATTATTCTTATTAACACTTGAATTATTCTTATTAAATATTTTGTTTTGGCACTGATTCACCGCCATTGTTCTGCTTGTTTGTACAAGATGCCTTATTATTTT